AGTATAATTTTTAAATTGAAAGAGAAATAATGTTTTAAAACTCGGTCTAAATGTTTTGGCTTTTCCATGTATAATAGTATAATTATTGAACAATCAAACACTGTAAAATAAAATTAGGTGTAAATCCAAACCCATTCCTAGACAATTCAACAATAAAATTAAAAGGTACAAAAATAGTTATTACATTCTCACAATGATAAGCAACAACATATTAGAATGATTATAAAAATTGTCATACACAAATCAAATAAACTTGCAACGTACAAAGAACGAAAACATAGTATCATATTATCAATAACATCCACGATCACAAAAATTGATATCTATAAAACAATTACGTCAATATTTAAAAACAGTAATGAAACACAATCTCTACCTTGTACTTAGCAACTTCCTCGCTAACCTCCTTCAAGTCACCCTTGGTGAAAATCAACCCAACATTTCCCTAATAAAACAAACAAAACATAAGACACATAATATTCACACAAAAAATCAAAATAATAATTAGAGATGGATGATAACATACGACAAGAAGAGGGATTAGGTTAAGGAAAGCTTGGTTTCCAGTCTTCTCAGCATGAATCCTAACAGAACGTTTCATCATAGTGTTCTTTCCCATCAAAACAACAGAATCACCACGTAAACCCTGACGAATGTTCTGGAGCTGATTGGATCCAACATTATCAGCGTTCACAACCAGAATCTGAGTGTACTCATCAAGAAGCTGACATAGCTTGCCATCATAAGCGATTTTCTTCTCGGCTTTTGTAGCTTTTGGTGCCATTGATTAAGATAGGGTTTTGAGCTTAAAGGGAAAAAAGGAATCAAAATCGAGGGCCAAGACGAAGAATGTGGCGTCAAGGCGTACAGCAAAACGGTGCCGTATCTTTAACCTCCTTTTTACTTGTTCAGTTAGGGTTTGAGTGTGGAACGATAGCAATAACTCAATAAGCGGTGGATGTAAAAGAGAAATGGAGGAAGGAGGAGTTTGATATAGTAGTGCAATTAGGGTTTCTGTGTTTATCCTAAAGGGCTTGTGATTGTAAAAGCCTTGTAGGCCCAATTGTCTTTAAATATGTTAAAGTAGAATAGGATTCATGCTAAACTAGATCGAGCTAAAAGTATTATTATAATGCAATCCTAAGTGTATTGAAGGTTGTGGTGAGTTGACCCGAATAAAAGTAAAAAATAATTATTTAAATTTTAATATATTTAATCTATTTATAAAAATATATCATTTGATATTGACTTATAATTTTTTTAACACATTTATTATGTCCAATTTAACAAAACTCAGACATATAATGTTTTATCGTTGAGTTAAGATATAATGTCAAGTCAAATTATATGATTTTTAACCTAAATCATTTATTAAATATTTTATTCGTATTAGCCTGACACTTTATAACACTATATAATTTATGATTTTACTTTGACACGTTAACTTTTGTATATTATCAAAAGTAATATCATGTTAGTGATTGATGTTAGCATAGCTTGTAACAATTTTAAATGACACAAAATAATATTTATTGGATAAGTCACGACCATGTTGATCTCTTTAAGACGTTTTGTGGTACTGTCCAAAATATGTGCAAGTTCACTATCAACCACACCATTCGTCCTTATGATAAAACAACTAAGTTATTTGTTATCGACATACTGTAATATTATGGACTACATATAATTCTTTACTTTTATTTGAAATTACTAATTCTTTACTTTTACTTTTCTTGAAATTACTAATTCTTTACTTTTATTGAAGAGTGGTGTGAATTTTTTAAATGACGTGACACAATGTTGTTGGCTGAGACAGTGTTGAAGACAAAATTTTGGGACACTCATGTGTAACAAAAGAAACTTCCTACATCACTTCATTACTTTACCTCATACAACCCAACATTTTCTCTCTCATACTTCTAAAACCTTTCTTCTCAATCACTTCCTTAGAAAACTACAAAAATAATATCATGTTAGTTATTGATGTTAGCCTAGCTTGCAACAATTTTAAATGACACAAAATAATAGTTATTGGACAAGTCACGACCATGTCGATCTCTTTAAGACGTTCTATGGTATTGCCTAAAATGTGTGCAAGTTCACTATCAACCACACCATCCGTCCCTATGATAAAACAACTAAGTTATTTGTTATCGAATTCTTAGTGCATTATAAGAATTGATCTCGAATACATCCACCACAATATGACTACTACTATTAATTTTCAAAATGGCCACAGTATGTCTACTCATGTCGATTCTATTTTCCCATGACTATCATTGTCAGTTATTGAAATTCACACAATTTGACTGTATGTGTCAATTCTAATACCACATAAAGAAATAAGGAGAATTAGGCCGAAAATTTGTCGGTAGGAAGAAATAAGAAGTTGAGGAATAATTCTATCTAGTTAATCCCATATAGTAGAAAAGGGTTTTGTTATTGTTATTACATCATATTGATTGATTATTCTCTCCTGGCTTATTATCGTCCTTAATGTTGTGCATTTCATCTAGAATATCAAGGCTCATGAAAATAGGAAGCAGATATTTTCCAAGAATGCTGCATCAAGAGAGAACCCTTTCCAGCATCAACCAAAGCCAGCCACTGAGCCACCCCATGGTCAAATTCATCAAATGTATCTTCTGAGAGTTTGCAACAAACATCAGTGTGAGTAGCTTCTATCAAGTTACAGGTTAACAACTGTTGTTATGTCATGGCATTGCTACTGTGGTGGATACTTTCTACTATTCTTCTGTTAAGTTTTGGGGTTTAGCTAAAATCTAATCTTTCGATTTTGATATTTTTCTTAACTAGATATCACAGAACTTAGTGGTATCTTCACGAACTTGGCTACAATGGTTGCCCATCAAGGGGAACTAGCTATTAGGTTTATCTCTCTTTTAATTGAATATGTGATGTTTGGTACTCGTAGTTCCACATTGCTGCACTGCACTACCTTTTTCTCTCCTCAATAGAGATTTTGGTGTATGTTGAAAATTCGAATAATATAATGTTGTAGTATTTGAAGCACTATAGCTGATCACATTTCTAGAAGTTAGGATTAAATCTTCCTAATTGACATGGCCAGGATTGATGACAACATGGATGAGTCATTGGCAAATGTTGAAGGAACTCACAGTTCCTCAGTGCGGAAATATCATCAATTATATCATCAATTGATTTCTTTCTTTGAAATTTTATTTATTGAATATGTTTTTTTAGTCATGCTATACTATAGATCTATAAATCAGGAGGTTCCTTTTCACACATGTTTTGAAGTTCAAGAACTAAATCACACACTATGCAATGTTTAAGGATACTTTTGATGATGAAAAACTATTTTGTACCAAATGAAAGTTCAAGGTCCTTTTGCACAATTTTAAAATTAAGGGACTAATTACTCATCACACTAAGTTTACGGGTCTTCTTGGATATCATCCTAAGTTCAAAGTGCATTGTGATTTCAACTCACTATTGGTTTAGGTAGTTATATTCTTACTCAATTTATCTACAAACTCACATTATAAAGGTACTTTTTCGTAGACATTGAATACTGATAAGGATGCAGCCAAACACATAAAGCTAGTTATTTATGTAAGAATCCACTAACTTATTTGCTGCAGCTATTGCTAAGAATCTCCTTTTTATTGTCATTTTTTATGCTGATTTCACTAGTTCTGTTTGCCACTATCTGTTTGAATTTACCAAAGGTATGATTTGTTGTACCCGACTGTGAATGAAGACCTTTCGACCACCAAGAAGTTTCATTGTTACCAAGGAAAAGTGGAGAAGCAAAATTGGTCCAGCTAACCTAACCTAAGTTGATCTGATTTGCTAGATAATGAGAATCTCCATCTCTTATTAGTTTTATGTATAAATTCATGTCCTAATAAAATATAAGAAAGAGGAGTTAAAAATGATGCCAACCTTTAGCTTAAGTAAAATACATATCCTTCTACAAATTTTCATGTATATACTCTTACATCATAACAATAACAAAAGTAACATATGTATGACAAATAATATTTTATTTATTATTAATTGATTTATAAGTGATATGTTATTTTTGCATAGGTACGATAGTTTTGTAGGAGAATATCTCACTAGTATTTTTACTACCATTACTTGTAGTAGTTTTTTATTTTATTTTTTATTTTTTATTTTTGATGAAGGAGTGATAGTAGATATGAACCATGATTGTACATGACACATAGGAGAGAAAACCAGATGAATGAGCACCCTTAAATTTTCATTTTGCTTTGGTACGTTCTATCATAATTTATTGCCATATTAGATGAATCTTCACTTTAAAAGGCTATCATAGGTTAAGGGCATAGAAGCTTTGACTCTTTATTAGATGCATATAGTTCACGTGACTTTATCCTTCAAATCTTATAAAGCAAAAAAAAAAAAATCTAGTGATACGATGCTAAATTAAATTGGAAAATTCTATGATACCTATAATTAGTGCTAACTTGTCTACTAAGTAATATTGTTATATGTTGAACGAATCTAAATTCTAAAATCATAAGATCACACAATGGTTCAAGACAATTGGTTTAGTAGTGTGAAACCTGCAAGATTCCACCATGATCAAAATATGATTTGATTCATGATAATGATACATGTTAGGATATACAAATGTACACCCGAAAAAGATTAATTTATTAGTTATAGAGTTGGAATACCCTTGATAGTACAAAATGACCATACTATTAAATTGTCTGCAACACCGTTAGTTTGCAAATACCATCGATCTCTTTTCATTAAACCTTTTGATGCTATATGATTTTGTTACAACTTACATAAGAGTTTAATCTGCAAAATGCCACATTAATGGTGTGTTTGGTGAAGCTGAATTAATTATATTATGGTTATATTTACCTATCATTGTAATTATAAAAGCAATCCATCCTATTTGATGCTTTGAGAAAATACTCATTTCTTCTAAAATAAAAGTTTCATTTATAATATAAGCTAGTTACCTACTTACCCAACTATCCTTAGAATATAAAAAAAAAGCCTATAATTCAAAACTAAGAAAAATGAGTATCTATCAAACATAAGCTAATTTGGATTTTGTGTAAAAAAGAAAGCTAATGAGTTTATATTGACTCTTACATAGTGCAATATATCACATCTCATAGGCCATGTTGATGTGTACCAACTACCAAATACCAACTAGGAGATGGAGGTAAGTTCCCAAATCCATATAAGGTATATCAAAATCATAGCATGGTTGAAACTAAGCAGAATAATTTTGCAGGAAGATGGTCATAGATGACTTTGAATATTGAGAATAATATTAATCTTTGATTTCAATGGGGACTGGTAGAAGTGAATAAAAATATTCAGATTAAATAGATGAGTTTCACTTCATTGTAAGCTTAGCTTTTTTTTAAAGATAATATCCTTTGATTGGCTTTTAAGATTGTAGTTGTAAGAGGTAAAAAAAGGGTTTGAGAATTGAGAGAGGTAGGAACTTAGTTAGAAGTTCATGATATTATTTATAATTTCATTTACTATTGTTATTCTTACAATTCCTTAGTCTCACCTCAACTATTTCTGGTCTAACTGACAGCTAAAATCTACGTCTCCATTACTGAGATAAAGTGTCATTGACTTTTGGTTTTTCCATGTGTTTTCACGTAACTCTCCTCTCTAGTAATAGAGAGAGGAGTCTGACTCAAACATAACCAAAGAAAAGAGTTTACAGATTCTACATCTTCTGAGTTGAGTGGCCTGATTATGACAAACCCTGAACTAATGGCAGGCACAAGGAGAAAAAATTCAAGTCTTAGTCTTGTCCCAATGATAGATTTAGTAGCTAGTGAAGGGTGTACATCAATTAGACCTAAGAAGTAAGAATGATAATTCAGTGGAATCTTCCTCTAAGACCCACAGGGCCAAAACCTTGGGTAGTGATTGAAAGTGATGTTACAATGCCAAGAAAACACTTATACTGTTACATACATCACCTAATATTTGCATGATTTCTATCATCAGTTTATAATTGGGCCAGCATGGTTTCTAGATATATAGTGTGCTTGGTAGCCAAGATTGAATGGAATATAAATGGAATTGAAAAGACTAAGACATTAATAGAATGATTGTGGAAACCAAAATATTTTACTTTTCAATTTTGTTATGTTCTGTTTTATATATAAGACATGTCAAATATAGGATAGAACTTATGTTTGCCTTTCACCTTATAACATCTCTGCTACCAAATTGTGTAATTTTTACACAAATGTGTGTGAAATTAGTGTGTACCTTATTCTTTACTTATTACAGAACAATTTGGATGCTCTGTAGCATATTTTCTCCATAGCTCTTTAAATTTTTTATTAATCTTATGTTCAATTCACTGTGCCCAATTGACCACACATGAAACCAATTGCTCCTAATCATTTTCCAACAATATCAATCAATGTGAATTTGGCCGGTTACATATTATTTCACAAGTTCAAATCCTAGAAATTGCCGTCATTTTTTTATCAATCAATTTTTCTTAATATTGGTCAATCTTTCACTTAATTCTTATGTGAATTGATCAAAATATATTGACCAATCTGGAGATAAAATTAACCACTATTATAGATAGGTATAGAAAAAACAAGGTGCAAAAGGATTGGATCGTTCCATGTGAAGAATGGAAAGTATGAAATTGATTGAGGTGGGTTTTGAAGTGGGAAATGGTGATATAATTGTTGTATGACTCTTTATTATTTGATGGATTTTGCCGGTTTTATCTTCCACATTCATATCAAAATTGATGTAACATTTTCCTTGATTTTAGTGACAATACAATAATGCCACACAAAGAAAAATTGGCTACAAGATTCCTTGTATAGCAATTACAAAAGCTAGTGTTTGTTTTGTGGCTTAGAGAAGACCTATAAACACTTCCTTTGACAATTGTTGAAGGTATAGTATTAACTATTGATAATGAATAATGAATCATGAATCATGAATCATGAATCATGAATCATGAATCATGATTACAATAATCTTCATAAGAGACGTTAAGGTGCCACTTCCCTAATAAGCTGAAATTGTAAAATAGTACCATTTCTGACCACACTTTTTTCACTCATGACATCCTTACACTTTTTTAGTGTAAAATACTTTTACAGGGTAAGGGTAAGAAGTAAGAACAATACTATATGTAACTTTATAAAATAAATAAAAATATGTGTTAGACTTTCCTCAGAAGTGAAGTTTTCTAAACATGAACTTTTATCCTCTCTTAAAATCTAAACTTATCATTAGTTTCTTTTCCTTTGAGGATGTCTAATCACACTGGATAATATAGAGTGAAATTAAATTAAAGACAATAAATAAAATTTCCTTTTCAGTAAATTTGTAGTAAAGACTTCATGATAAAGTTGATTAGTTGAAATTAAATTTAATAATATTTAAGGGTAAAACTGTTGTTAACAATTTGTAAAAACTTATCAGAAAACTATAGAAGGCAAACAAGTGCATAATTTAAAGTGTATCTCACACTTGTATTTCATACCACCATTATTGTACCAAAAGAATAAAAATTTAATGTAAAAAGTGTTGAGTTTAGTTAAATGTAAAGTTTCATATTGGATATGAGAAAAGAAGTGAAAAAGTTTATAATTGAAAAATGGTCGTTGAAGTAATATCTTAAGATTTTAGTTCAAGACTTTGTGTCTTACTTGCGTCTCTGGTCGGAGGTTTCACAGTCACAGTCTGGTCCAATAAAAAATGTGACCAATATTTCAAACATTTAAAAAGTGTAATTATTATTATTCTCTCTAAAATATGTATTAGGTTATTTCTGTGAACGCTTGAGTTTTTATGCAGATAATGCTCAGATTCCCTATTACAACAGCAATATATATTAAATGGCAACAAAATGTTGTTGAAATAAATACATCCTTAAATAATTCCTCTATGCTTAGGATGGGCCTATCTAGTTTAAATAGGAGGGGGTAAGGTAGATCAAGTCTTATTGTACCATTTTAGATTAGCTTTAGTGTACATATGTAATTGCATTAAGTTTAGTTCCACTTCCTATACCCAAAAAAAAAAGTTATTCCTAGAAGAACTCAGTCATATAATAACCGGGTTTGGATCATCTTCTATACTGGAGAGTCAAATACTAAAATATGAGAGATAAAATTTAATTTTATAAAAAAATTAAATACACATGTCATTATCTCCATATAGTACCGGAGTATCCGTAGTATAGAGAAACTCATTACATAATAACCAAGTAAGATTGAAAATATGTCTCTTTATTATGAATATGAAAATGAGACTATGAAATTTGTAGGATGAGTTATTTTTAAGGGAAAGATACTTTAATGATCCATGGGGAAGAACATAAAAAGGAAGGGGTTGTGAAACCACACACTCCTTTGAACTGGAACAAATCAGTACAGTGATGCAATTTTGAAATAAATAGTAATAATAATAATAATAATGCAATGCACTAAACAACTCTTAATAATGAAACCAATTATAGCAATGATGAAAGGTCCCAAACCCCATAATTTTTGTGTGCCCACATTGTAGGCATGAATGATCGAATTCAAGTCAATATATTAGAAGAAAGAAGCAAAAAAGAAGAGTGAATTCAAATCAGTATAGCCATGATTACTTGCTAGTCATGCTGCAACAAAAAATGATAGCCCATGGCACCACATTAGCATAATGAAAGATACTTTACCCTAAAATAAAATAAAATCTGCATAGATGGTATCATGTATACTTGAATGATAGCTTGTACGAGCTATATATATATATATATATATATATATATATATATATATATATATATATATATATATATATATATATGGGTAGTATTTTTTATGACAATAAAATCTCATTTAATCATTAAAATAGTATACATATCATGATTTCAGTGACGGTAGAGAACTAAAACAATATTCACTATTTCCTTAATAAAATTACTATTTATGCAATATTTTCTTTACGATGAGGGTTTGTTGGAAGAAATTATATAAAAATATAGCAAAACTTCTATATATAAAAGCTTAGTCAATTTATCACTTTGAACTGCATCACAATAAAGGGCTAGAACCAATTATACTATATTGTTTCCCTTCCATCTATATTATTTCATGTCAATAAAAATATGACATATCAATTAAACTTCTTTATTTTATTATCATTAATGTGAGACAACGTATGAGATATCAATGGTTGTAATGATGGAATAGAAATGGGGATTGAGCACTTTGTAGAATGCTAAAGTGACTTTGGAATTGAGGATAAGCATACATAATAGAAGTTCCGTGCCCAGCATTCATAATTCTTGGTCCTACGTTCATAATTATCCCACTACGAGTTTCAATTAGTATCTAGCCATAAAAGAGTTTGGAACAAATTTGATTAGATTACAAAACGTATACTACATTTTATCTTCACCACGTACTAATGTATATAATAGATAAATATTTTCTTTCTAATCAAATTATGATTGAACCCTTAATAAAACTTACGTTGTGGGGGCTAATGCCCACAAGCATGTCCTAGGATGCTTGTTTCTAATCTTATTAAAGTCGATTCCAAAGACTGAAAGGTAGAGAAAATAGAGATTTACACACAAAAAAGCGAAGCAAAGTTAGCACCATATAAATGTTTTCAAGGGGTATTCGAAAAGAAGCTTTTCAAGATAATAAAAGGCCAAATAAATCCAACACTTTCCTTTTCGTTGGTATTTTAATATAGGAGGGATATAAAAAACTTAATTCACATATCTTATACATCAATTCCAAGGAAATCAAATAATTGAAATTAATGACTAGATTTAAACCATTAGATTTCCCTATAACTGATGGCTACGATGTGAATTAAATTTATAAAAACTTATCCTTGAAATAAGTGAATCCATTTCTTTTAGGGAATAATGTATCACGTGGTATAAGGAGATAATTTATCTTCTCCAACCACTAAAATTGTGTTATGTGTACCATATAATCATTTTCTACAAAAATAATTCTAGAACTAAATAAAACAATACACATGTCATTCTTTTACTGACGGGAGGAGGTAAATTACGTTATCTCTTGATACGAGGAGATACATTATTATTATGTTTCTTTTAATATATATCTATATATTTTAATTTTGTGGGTACCCAAAAAATTCCTTCCATCATCATTTTAAGCTCATGGACCCTCTTTTAAATTTGGGAAACATCTTTTGAGAGTGTAATTTTAGCGAGGAATATAGGAAAAATTAAAAACAAAACATAAAATATATTTATAAAATAATTCTAAATCATTCATTTTTATTTATTTATTTTTAAAACTTAACTCGTAAACAGTTCCTCCAAATGATTAGACTTATTACTTATACAATACTTGAATTGTTGATGAAAACCTTTAGTTGGAGGACCTGCAACACATATTCTAGACTAATTGTAGAGGATAAATAAAATGTACCACAGAGTCCTAACAAAGAAAGGGACCCAATTTTGTTGTTCTTCGAAAACTCCAATATCTTGAGTGTTGATGTGAATCAACGTCATATGCCTATGTTTAGTAAACATAAGTACTTGGGTGAATTATGGAATCTATACAGATAGTAACTTAAGGGAAAATAAAGATAAGGTTGAAGCTTTCTTCCTTCAAAATGCACTTTTACCTAACCTCTTCATTATTGTCACTGATTCATGGTCAAGTATTTAGAGTGACACATATAATTGTTCATAATTCACCTAATAAACAATTGCGTATGTGGTATAAACTTTCCTTGTATGGTAGTTAGGGTACTTTTTTCTTTTTTTCTCAGAAAGTAGAAAAGAGAAAACTTTTTCTCTCAACATTTGGCACGTAAATATGAGTGGATCTGGTCCTTCTACTCATTAATCCTTCTACTCATTAATCCTTCCTTTTCCAATTGCGTAAAAGTTTTTTATATTGCCACTATATTTTCTATCATTCATTTTTAATCATTATTCGAT